CCTTGGTTTGATGTCCGCAAGTAAAAAGCACGCACTCGCTCGAAGGGGCATCACAGGTGTGAGGGAATGAAAAAAAAAAAGCATATATACGCGTCAATCGGACCACCAACCTTCCTATGCTTCTACGCGCAGCACTGGAAGAGACAGGTGAAGAGAAACAGCCCACATGCAGTACAAATAAGGTAGAATCCCTCTACGAATTCGTATCCACGGTCCTTGAACGGAGCATATGCGTCCCTCAGGGAATCGTCGTTCTGGCAGTAACCCTTCAGATACCCGTACACGAGAAGGCCCACACAACCTCCGCACCCGACAAAAGCAAGGGTAACGAAGAGTGATGTAATACATTTGAGACAGCACATCCCTTGCCTGGAACAAAGCTGCGCAATGGCGAGAACGAAAATAATGAGCCCCACGCCAGCACCGCCCGCTGCACCGCCCTCACTGATCTCAAAGAAGAGCTTGTATTGGTCACACGGACTGTCCTTCACCATTTCCTTTATACCAGAACGCACATTCTCACTACTGTACCAGAGTGTCTGCTCACTCTTATTACGTCCGGTCCCTTTACGGAACACCGCAAACAGATTGGCACAAACAGCGGCAGCGGTAGCCAAGATGGCTAACGGTAAGATCAACGCACGACAGAAGATCATGATTTCTTTCCTGGAGAGTTTGCACGAGCTTGCTTAGAAGGTCAAACACTACAATGAGATGTTGGGGAGAAGCGGCACATCAACACCTCAGTGATGGGGAGAGGAGGGAGAGTGCGACACATCATGGCCGGGGGTCGCAGTTGGCGTCTCATATGGCGGTGCCTTTGGAAAGAGGGTTTGATGCCAAAATTCAACTGATACAGTTGTTTGTACGCTGCAATGCTTCAATTAATGATCCCATGTAGACTCTAAATTCTTCAGGTCGTACGTCTCCGCTTGCCACTGTGACACCCTCGTTTGCGAGAAGTGCAGAGCGCACTACCCTCTGCCTTCTTTCCGGGTCGCCGACGAGGGCACAGCTGGCAACAGCATTGTTTCTGCGCTGTTCCGCTGCGTAGTGGTTGACGCAGTGAGGCTTTTTGATGAGAAAGTGAACACGGGAGTCCATCATGGTCGGCTCTGCTACTTGTGGCTGAGAGGTTTGCGAAAAAGCATTGAGTGGATCGTGCTCGTAATCGTATCGCAAGAGCGCGTATTGTGTGCGCAGCCCGCCAATGTCACCTTCCGCACCCTTTGTGCCGTGGACGCGCTGAACTTCGTCAAGAATGTACTTGCGCTGCTCCTGTGTGAGATCGTAGCGGCGACGATCAGCCCACAGTAACAGTTCATCGAGCCACGACGATTTGAAGAGGCCAAGGCGTTGTGTGGCGTGCTGATACAATTCTAGCAGTTTCGGCGATTCCACGCGAAGGTATATCTTCATTAGTCGAGACACAATGCGGGTGGTAAAAGGTGTTCCTTTCTCCTTTATTGCATGAAGGACTTCCTCCGCACCGGCGGCAGGGTCTGTTGAATTGTGGGCGTGCTGAAGAAGAACGCAGAAGTAAAACTCGTTGGTGCAGTGCATGAGGCTTTGTTCCTGACAGGGCCGAAGGTAGTCTTCCTCAAAACGAGGAACCTGACATTTAGACAAGGCGTGAATTGAGGTCTGCAGGAGGTACTCATTCCCGCGGCGGTCTACGGTTTGGGCACTTTCTACCAGCGCGTGTCTGGCCTGCGCGAAGGCCGCTAGAGCCAAGTCAACGGCTCGTGTCTCGCCTGCCGCGATGAGGACAATGCTCCAGACACCGATGCCTAGCTGTGCCCCGTCACGCAGCATTGCACGTGCTATGAAGACCATCTTCCCGTTTTCCTTCGCGTTTTGTAGTACAGTCAGTAGCTGGAAGATGAGAAACTCCGAGACCTGCTCCACTGACCTTGAATTTGCCGCTTTTGTTTCCCCGGCTTGTTCGGCTGTGTGGGTGCCATCCTGTATCCTTCGCGCCCGTGGACGCAAAAGATCGCCACTGCTTACCTGTTCGATTCCAAGAAACGTGCAGATGTCGTCAAAGTACCGAAGCGCCACATCTACATGCTGTCCCACACGGCACGTCGCAATAAGACTCGCGTAGAACCACTGTTCCTCCGAGACTACATTCCCTTCAGCGCCGTTACCTGCACTGCCGTTGCTGACGATAGTGCTCAATGTACCACTTCCATCGTCCTGTCGCACAGTGTCGCGTGGCTTGCGAAGGAATCCTCTTTGGAGGCAGAAATGAAAGAAGAGCATCTCACCCTCGTCGCCACACGAGGCATACTGCACAAAGCGCTGGACAATGCGTACGGCATCCTGCGCCATTAGCTCCTGGCACGGACCGGGGTATACTGCTGTTATGCACTCGTCGTATATATAGGCTGCATCCTGAATGGCCTGCTTCCCCTCCACGGTGTGTGTGCTGCTGTGGTTTGTGGCAATGCAGACGCATCGCCAGAATGCGCGGACCAAAGAGAAGGCACTCATGACTTCCCAGCCCATGGATGGCACCTGCTGCAGGTGCTTTACGCAATGTGAGGCCAGACGGCGGAGATCGGCAGTACGAGCGAGACTGTACGCGCTATCCACAACCGCGTCGGACACAACAAACCCTCCAGCAGCCACGTCGTCGCCGTCCGTCGCAGCACTGGCCGCCATGAGAGCCGCACGGGCGTAATACACCTCTAGACAAAGCTCATGGAGCTTCGCCGCATGTGCAAGGTGGGCATACTCGCGAATGCACTTGTTGCTCACCTCCCGCAGACGTCTGCACATCAGCTCTGTAACATGCGCGTGTACCGCACCAGTTTGGCTCTGGTCAAAATTTGTCTTACTAAAGCGATAAAGGCGACGGCTGAATTCATCTGCCGAGAGGAGTGTGAGTTCATGCGCCATACGCCGGTACGCCTCCGCATTGGTGTCCACCTTCGGTGGTGCAGCCGGTGGGTGAGAAGGCAAGGCGCCCTTGCCAACATGCAGCGTCGACGGCAAAACGCTTCTAACGCGTACCAATAGGCAATGCCGCATTTATTCCTTCCTTTCCGTCGTGCTCTCGTGCGTAAACGGAGCGACTAGTTTCATCATCTTTTTGGTGTGCGTACATGCATGTTTAGTTGCAACGACACGAATGAAGCAAGGGCGACGAGAAAAAAAAAAACAAGGAAAAAAACAGCGCGCACATACCTTTACCAGCGCACTACCACTGTAACCAGGAGAGGCAAACATCCAACTATCTCACACATTTACGGATAGAACCGCGAACTTCATACGCAGCTTTTTCTCCTTTTCTCCCCCTCACTCGTTACTGCTGGAGACCGCGAAGGGCTGCAGAAATGTCCGCAAAATTCAGCTTGACCGCAGCTTTCGCGCTGTTCTGCCGTTCCTCCTCCTCACTGAGAGTGACGGGGGCGTACACGTTGAGCAGGTCCAGTACTGGACCATTGTTCCATAGCTGCCACTCAGCCGAGTTCGGGCTATTCTTCTTCTTCGAAATCCACTTGCCCCACGCGCTCTGTGGGTCGTCAAGACTTCCCGCATGCCGCACTGTCGGCATTGGCTCTGCCGTATTTGGAAGATCAAACACGTGCTGGTGTAGAAGCCGGCACTTCTCCGCGTTACCGGGGCAGAGACCCATTAGGAAGCATATACACAGGTCGTACGGCGCACCGCGAAACAGGCATGTCTCGCCGTGCAAGCACGTCCCCCACACGCGACAACACGGGTGTGTCTCCTCCTTCCACTGTGCTGCCGCCGCCGCTTCCGGGCCTCTGCCTGGCAGTACCGCGCCACCACGGGCAGACGGCACCGTGTTCATTGCTATAGCGGGGAGGTTCTGGATGTGCGTGGGCCGATCGCCACCGCCGAGCATTGGGGCGGCGGTGCGCTCACCTGAAGGCGCCACCGCCTCAGCGGGGCGACTGGAAATGTCATCCGACATCTCCATCACCTTCGACGGCTTGTAACTAAGCCAAGAGAGAAGCGATGGAAAAGGCACGACACGGCTGGGGCGGTAGGAGCGCGGACGTATAATGCGAGTGAAGCACCGTGTGCAGAGCATCACCTGATGCACCGTGTCCACAGCGATGGAGTCGGAGATGATGTTGTCCCGACGGCATTTGTTGCAGTAAAAGGACGCTCGCTCAGACAGCTGCCAGAGTTTTGTCTTCAGCGCTGCCTGAGCGTTCGCGTCTGGTGGAAATTTCTTCTCTCGCGCGTTGAATGTCGCGAAGTTGTTGAACGTCAGGCGCCTGGGGCCACGACCGCTGCCGCTGCCACCGCCGCTTTCCACCGGTGCCACTGACGTGCTGTGATCATTTACAACGACGAGGGGACGGCTGTGCTGGTACGGTGCGCCTCTCCTCGGTGTAGCGTATTGCTGTAGAGCGTTACCACTCCGTTGCTCCCTGCCCATCGATCAGGCTATCTTTCTTCACAATCACCCTCTTCCTCTTCTGTTCGTTTCCACCCACACCACCAGCAGCGGCTAAAAGGAATGGAGATCTAGCTCCGTCGCACTTGCGTTGTAAGGTGAAGGCAAAGTGAGAGAGAAAACAGGCAGGATGAAGCAGCTGAAGGAGCAACGGCCGAGACTAATACCAGCAATTCTAAAAACAGACGGGGAGGGGTTAGACCTTGTGTGTCACAACAAGTAGAAAATGAGAAAAAAAAAGGGCCTCGTGTCACCGCGAAAAACCTTCACAGGATTCTTCTCCCTCTCGCCTACGCGTAGCCGAACTTCTTCAACACCTCCACGTTCTTCTTGGGCATCTTCGCCAGAGCCGCCTTGCGTGCAGACTTCCAGGCGGAGCGCACCTTCTCTGTCTTCTTGTGGTGGCGGGTGGCCTTCTCCACGCGGGCCGTCTCAAGCTTCTTTACGACGTCGCTGTACTTCCAGCCCACATGCTTGCACATGTTGCCCAACACCGTGTAGGGGCGCTCGCTGCGGTAGCAGTAGTGGCGCTGCGCCTTGGGGATCACAACGCGGCCGCCGGTGCGCACCATGTTGGTGGGGACGCCCTCGTAGGCGACGAGCTGCCGCAGCGCCCGCTGCCCGCGCTTCGTGTAGCGCGGCAGCATCGAGCGCACCGTGCGGACGAACACATCGGAGGGGCTGCGGTGGTGGAAGGGGCCGAGCTTCGGGTTCGACAGCTTGCGCTTGCGCAGGAACTGCAGGTACTTGATCTTGTTGCGGATCTCCGTCCCTGCTATCGTCAGCTGCTCGCAACGCACCGCGGTGATCTTCTTGCCGAGCAGCAGCTGCTTCGCCACGATGGCGGCAGCGCGACCGAGCACGTGATCCTTGAGGTCCAAAACGATGATCTCCGGGCGGTGCTTCTTGATGTCTTTGCGGCTGCGGCGATCAGCCGACTTGCGGGTGGGNAGGTCCAAAACGATGATCTCCGGGCGGTGCTTCTTGATGTCTTTGCGGCTGCGGCGATCAGCCGACTTGCGGGTGGGGAGAACCATCGTTGCTTGCTGTTTCGCCGGTGACTCCTGGACTGAAACACAACAAGAAGGGAAAGAGACAACAACAACAAAAAAAAACAGCAGAAGTAAGAATAAAAACGAGCATAACATGGGTCGACGTGGCATACAGAATGAACAAAGATCAGACAAGCAGGCAGTATGGCCCACATATAGATAGATAGATATATAAGCATTGTGTAAGGATGGACGGTGCGGCCATGTGCTCAGCTAGAGAAAGTACCCCAGTAGCCACCATAAAGAGAAACAGGCGCACAAACTCATACATACACTCTATTACACGTAGAGAACAACCCTCATCCTTGCGTGCCGTGGCACGAGACGCACACAGAAGGGGGGAAGGAAGTAGAGATTAGTGCGCTTCGCATGGAGTGGCAGCCGGCCCTTCCCACGCATGAACGCACACGCACAAAAACACCAAACCTCCATGCCTTCTNCATGGAGTGGCAGCCGGCCCTTCCCACGCATGAACGCACACGCACAAAAACACCAAACCTCCATGCCTTCTCCCCCACCCATCTGTGCATATGCAGGTGCACGCGCATGTATTTTCCCCTTCTTCGCTTTCGTCTTTCCCCCCGCCTTACTCAGTACGCTTAGTGCAGACGCATGCTTGTTTGTTTGCTTTTTGTGTATGTGTATGTGTATGTGTGTGTGTGCATGTGCAAGACCGAGAAGGAAGCACCTTTGCTTTCCGTTCAATATACCCCATGCATTCTTCTTTTACTTTTTTTTCTCTTCTGTGGTTCTCTCGTTAGCGGCTCATTTTTTTTCTTTTCGTGGGAGCGATGATGATGATGATGATGATGTGCGGTTCCTATTCTTCCTCCCCCTCACCTGCCTCGCCACCACAGCTCCTCCCCCCTCCCCCTCCAATCGCCCTTCCCGCGCGCCTCGTCTCCGTTGTTCTGCAATCATTATCGTGTCCTTTCTGTCACGCACAGGCTCTTACCACGCAGTACATACGCATACACACACAGACCTCATTAACAGCTTTCATTAATACGCCGGCTTAAAAATTTGGAAGCTACACTTGCAATTCTCGTCCATCATCATCATAGCTCCACTGTTCGTGAACTCACCGCAGTAGTTCGATGCGCTAAAGATCGTAACCAGCCGCCTCTCCGCGAAAAAGGAGTAGCCGTTGTCGACCACCTGATGGGCACGCAGCACAATGTCAATGCTCAGATTGTCGCAGACCCGCTTTACCACGTCCTCACCGAATGTGTAGCTGACGCCGCGCTCGCTTTGCATCCAGCCGACGCTGTTCTCCTCGGGGTCCGACCACAAAATGTCGCAGGCCAAACCTGCGTCCGGCACCACCAGCGGGCGACGAATCTGGTTGATCTGGTCAAAGTGCCGCAGCTCAGGGCTTAGGCCGCCGTGCATGCACAGCGCAATCTCTTCAATGAGGGCGGCGATGGGGAGGCAGTTGAAAACGTCCGTGAACTCCTTGAACAGCTTCACCGAGAAGCGGCGCTTCACCTCATCGAAGAAGCCGTATATTCTACAAATGCTGTCGGACTCGTGATTGCCGCGGAGGACGCACATCTTGTCTGGGTGCAGCACCTTCAGCCCCAGCAGCACGACGATCACCTCCGTGCCGTGCTTGCCTCGGTCCACGTAGTCACCGAGGAACAAATATCGCGACGCGGGCGGCATTCCACCGGCGCGGAAAATCTCTAAGAGATCGTTGATCTGACCGTGGATGTCGCCACACACGTTGACGGGAGCCTCCACGTTCACCAGCATCGGCTGGGACATGAGTAGCGGCCTCACGCGGCGAAGGACAGTGCGGATGATGTCCTCGTTGAGGTACCGCTGCGCACTCTTCCAGTCGCGTAGAATAGCGGTGACTAAATGTCGGATGGCGGATTTCTCCTCCTCCTCGAGCGTCAACTCGCGCCGCGGGACGGTGGCGACTTCGCGCCGTTCATGCGGCTTCTCTGCAGACTGGGAGCGGCTTCTCTTGCGTGTGACCACGGCGGCCATGTCTCACCTCACTGCTGTCGGGGTTGTGAGTATTATATATTTTTTTTCTTGCTTTCTTTTTTGGTCTGCGGCTTGTAGGATAAGCCCGCCACACCACTCTGTTTCAGCAAAAATAGAGTTTGCACACACAGGCGCTGTGTACACACGTCAATGCCTCACAAACACACGGCCTGGGACAAACGAATAGTGGTAGTAGTAGTGGTGACAGTGGTGCGTGTGATGTTCTTCCACCTCCGGTTCCCCAATGTGTGCTGTCTCGCCTTTCTACACCTATCTCCTATGCGCATGCGTGTTAACAAACGCGACAGACCAGAATAATAACAGAAAAGAAAAACCAATACTACAGGCATCACTTCACACCTGAGCCCTGCGTGAATGCACAGAAACAGTAGAAGAAATACCTGGTGTCATCTCTGGCGACTTAGTGTTATATATCATCTTTACTTCATAGTGAAAGAAATTGGTGCTAAATAAAGCCCACACGCCGACCCTTTTCGCCCGTTCTTAGCTTACACTTTTCTTTGCTTTTCTTCCGGGGGAAAATGGATTGCTTAAATCTTATTCCAGGCGACAATATCCATTGACTGCACATCATTCTCAAAGGACATCACCATGTCTTCCAGATCATCGCCAGAAACCTTGTCGTCCTCAATAACGATNCAATATCCATTGACTGCACATCATTCTCAAAGGACATCACCATGTCTTCCAGATCATCGCCAGAAACCTTGTCGTCCTCAATAACGATGAGCTGCTGCAGCTTCTTCACGCCGAACGCCACCGGCACCAGCTTGTGGTCGCCCCAGAGCAGACCGTCACGCTGGATGGCGTGCAGCTTACCGGCCAGCGCCTCAAGATCGACGGTGTCATCCCACGGCTTGATGTCAAAGAGGATAGAAGACTTCGCAATGACCACCTTCTTCGCCTTCTTGGCTTCAGCGTCCTTCTTCTTCTTGGCCTCGAGCGCGGCTGTCTCCTCTTCCGTGGCGTCGCCGAACAGATCAATGTCGTCGTCGTCNGCGTCCTTCTTCTTCTTGGCCTCGAGCGCGGCTGTCTCCTCTTCCGTGGCGTCGCCGAACAGATCAATGTCGTCGTCGTCGTCGGCGGCCTTCTTGGAAGAAGACGCGGCGCCCTTGGCGAGCTGGTCACGCTCCGCCTGGTAGTACGACGCCATGCGGGCGGCCCACTCAATCACGGCAGTGTGTGAACCAAACATCTCGGAAAAGACCTTCGCATCCTCCTGGCTGGGACTAAAGCCTGAGACGTACGGCTGAGTGCCGAGGCGACCGTTGAGTTCCTTCAGGGTGGTCATAGTAACTTCTTTGATGTGTGTGCGGGAGTAGCCGAGTACGGATCTGTAGCGCGGATAAAAGATGCGTCGTCCCCATGAAATCAAATTGATAGTGGTTGTTGTACAAACGAAAAAAAAAAACGGAAATCGAGAGACATGATTATATATATATATATATATATATATAACCTAGAGACATAGAGAGGCACAGATACACACACACACGCAATGATCGATGTGGAATTTTCTTTTTTTTTTTTTTNTTTTTTTTTGGGGGGGGGGGGGGGGGGGAGGTTCCATGCAGCACCGTGCAGACACAAGTGCCATACGCACGGCGTCATGTTGGCCTGCCATGCAACGGGGCATCCTGCGCGTGTAGCGGGGGACTGCCCGGCTCATGTCACTCCTGTTGCAGCCGCCTGTGGGCAGTCACGAGTCCCAACGCGTCGTGCATGATCGAGTCCATATCCCCCTCGGACACTCGAATGTCGCACTCTTTGCATCGACGTGCACCAAAGCTCATCATAGGAGGGTTGCCCTTCAGCGGCGGGGCAAATCTCGTTTTGGNCTCGAATGTCACACTCTTTGCATCGACGTGCACCAAAGCTCATCATAGGAGGGTTGCCCTTCAGCGGCGGGGCAAATCTCGTTTTGGCGTCTTCCCAGTGCACATTGCAGCAACGCAAAGGCCAAACTACCGGGCTTTCGTAAGCGATATAGTGCAACCCCAGGAGCTCCGCCAGCTCCTGGTACATCGCGTAGCGGAAGCCGTGGGGAAACAACTCCACCACAACACTACCTGGACGCATTGCCATGATGTTCACAACTCCAGCACCGTGAGCGGCAATGAATATCGAGGTGTTGTGCATGAAGGACGCCTGACGAGCGTACGGCATGCGGATGAATGTCTGCATCGTCACTCCAACACCGCAGGATCGCAAACGCGTCTGCAGTTTCTCATACCACACGCGTTCCTCAAAGTGCCGCTCTCCCAATCGTTGAAGCAGCAATACAGTGACGCCATCTCCAGGGTTCGGAACGTCATAGTACCACAACAGGCATTTCCGGAAGAATCCTGCCTGCGCGCGGGTACGAAACCAACGAAAACGCTCCCACCGCGAGATTATCCACAAATCCTCCCTGCCCACCGAAGGAGGAAGAAGAGCAGCATCAGCAGCAGTAGCAGCGGAAGTCTCACTGGTGCGGGGACAGAAGAAGCCCCGCTCCTTCATCGCTTCCTTGTAAAAGATCTCATCCACACGCAATGTGGTATTTCCGGATGAACTTGTGGTGGCGACAAAATCGATACCCCATGATGTCATTAATGCAATGAACGGCGAGTCACTGCGGAACAGTGCATGAAACCATCCTAGAATGACAGCTCGAAACGACGAGTCCAGCCTTGGAGAGGGGTATGACGCGCAAACATTGCCGTAGAAGAGCGTCAGATGCACACGAAGACGCGCGGTGGCATCCTTCGGGTCTAGTTGCCGGCACTGTATCGAGCAAGGGGCAAGGTAGTCCAGCAGGAATGCCATCAAATGCGGCGCGTCTTTCGTGGTGTGTCCCAGCCGGCACAAGTCGGACGCGAGATAGTACAGCACCAGCGCCTCGTTGCGCTGCAGGAAATGGCGACAAGGCGGCAGCAGCTTGGGCGACGGTGTGGTGCGCTGCGGCGTCACAATGACAAAGCGGTCACGCAATCGCTGGAGGCATCCCTCGTACGTCCGCACGGTACCAATTCCACCGGAGAAGACGCCGGGGTTGTCGAACTCCTCCTCCTCCTCCCCCCCCATGGCGTGCCGCTCGCGCGCGCAATATGGCACCACCGTCTCCCCCTCCGCTAGGGAGTTGTGGCCAGCGGCGTGGGAGCACAAGAGGACAACAGCTGCAATGGTGTACAACCACATTAGATCGTCCCCCTTTCCCGTTGGTTTGAAAGCCAGCAAAACAAAACACACACACACAAAAACAGAGATAAGAGAGAGAAAAAAAAAA